ATTTTTATAAAAATAATAATTATTTTAAAATAAAAAATAGTAACAAATTACTCTGTTATTTTATAATAAATGTCGTTCAAATTTTCTTCGCATAATTTTAAATAGAAATAAATTTATACATGATCCGAATGACTAGTGAAATTGATTGTAGTGGTTCCATGAATTTCTTTACTTAAGTGGGGTTTAGCTTGAAATAAGTGAGATGCCCTTTCTAAATATGGGATGCCATATATATTCTAGAATGATCATTGTATCATATTTAATTGGGAAATAATTTTGAAACAATCTTTTTGTATTATTTTTTTATACAACCTAACATGTCATTTAAATGATTGGTTTTTCTAATTCATATGAGACTCATAATATTAAATATATTCACTTATTTAATGATATGTGAAAATTATATAAAAGGAAAATGTTATTAGGATAACCATGTTTTTCACATTTTTGTACAACCCGACGTATCATTAAAATAATTAATTCTTTTAATTCATATGAGACCTATAATATTAAATATATCTACTCATTTAATGATATGTGAAAATTGTAAAAAAAAAAATAAAAAAATTATCTCAATAGCACTACCCTATATAAAAAAATAATATAAAAAAATTATCACTATAGCATCCCTATCTAATTATTATTTGATTTGTTTGCGGAGGAATTGCATTATCACTGCTTGGTTTCTTCAAAGCAATAATGGTGGAAGACAAACTACCAAAAACAATTAAAAAAAAAAAGAAGAAGAAAACGGAATAAAGAGGGAAATTAATGAATATTGTCAAGCAATATGAATTTGAATTCGTAGATACATTGTCTTTTGCCGCGGTGGTATTTGCCACCTATAGTTTTGTTAAAATCATATAATTTTAATTAATATTTTTTTAGTTTGGAATTTTGATTTTAAATATTTAATTATGATATTTAAAAATATTTATTTATAAATTAATTTTAATTTTTTAAATAATAAATATTAATTATTTTATTTGCTATCAAGTGTTTGTAATAGCTAAATTGTTAATTTATTAGTCAAAATTGTATGATTTTGACAAAAATGTGTGTGGCTATAACCATAACATTTTTTGTACTCCCTTTAAATATTTGTTTCTAGAGTTAGAATCCATTTATATATATTACTTACCCAAAAATCTTGATTGTTCATGTATTTATTATGATATAGTTGAAATTTATCTATTATTTATTTTATTTTTTAAAAATAATTGCCTTTTAATTTAAAAAGTCATTATTTATAATAAAAATATGAATAATTTAAATTTTATAAAATAATGTGTGTAAAAGTTATGTATAAATTCATCATAATTTTTTTTCTATGATTAGGTTGTTTAGTAAATAATTTTAATTTTGAATATGATATTATCCTCTTTTTTTGTCCTTTCCCTATATAACTACAATTACGAATTTGCAGTTGAAATTTGAAAGTTTATTGTCACTATCACAGAATGCTGCAGGTTTTGTTGGGCCTCGGGCATTCAAGCCCATAACGGCTTGAATGAAATAGCAAAGCCCAATTACCCCTACGTGTGTGTGACAAAGGCAGCCAATTAAAATAATGAGGCTTTTGTTTGATAATATTTTTAACTTTTAATTTTAGTTTTTATATATTTTTAAAATATTAAAAGAAAAAAAACTAACATCTACAATTACTTACTAACACTATCAAACTAAACCTAAAGTGTGCATCTAAAAAGGATTTTAGGAAATGCTAACGATTAAAATAATTCAGTGATTATTTTTTTATATTGAAAATAAAAAATTTTGAATTTAACTTATATGACATGCGGATAATGTGAAATAAAGAATGAAAAATGATTAATTCTCATTATGCAATCAAGATAAAAAAAAAAAAAATCCTAGGAAGCAAAAGAAATATTTTGAAGCTAAAAAGTTAGTTGATTGGGAATCCAGTCACTTATGCTCTACGACCAGATTTTCCTTTTCTGGCACTGACAGACAGACTCGCATGCTGTTCTAATGTCTCTCAAAACATTTGATTCCAAATCCATATCTAAACATGATTCAGGAGGAAACTTATACATTCCCGATCGATAATAATCCAGTGTCGCCGAATACTCAACTTTATTCTCTCATTAAGTGGTAGTATTAAGAAAATGATTAATTGGGATGTTATCATGTTACAGCCATTTAAATGGGATGGGATAGAGATTGTCTGTTTGTCTCTAGCAGAAACTGCAGAACCTCAAAGATGTGGATCTAATCTAGATAAAATTAAAGGAAAAAAAAAAAAAAA